CTGGTGGACACTAGAGAGAATGCAGCTTTAACACATCAAGCTTTGACCTCCCAGAAACAGTTGGCCGCTGTAGCTTCCAACAAATGTTTCTCAAACAACAGGAAATAGTGTTTTTATATTTTTCAGCGGAGGAAACACATTTGGTGAGTATTTGTATGTCAAGATAAACTTGTGTGTTCATGGTGATGAAGGAACAACAGTGAGGCTCATTGTGTTTTAATACACACAAAAATACTTAAAGTATTGTAATCGATGAATCCATGTTGAATTTGCCTTTTTAAATGGGATTTGTTAAAAAGAATAATATAGAATATTATGAGGGAAAACAGTGTTGAACATGGCACTAAAGGTATGACTTCTGATAAATGAGGAGATATTAAAGTGTACTCACTTCTGTTTTTCAGGTATTTAAGAGCATCAGGGCCACATGAGAAACATTATTTCAGTTTAAACTCAACATTTATCTCCTGTATTTAACATCATGTATTATTACTTTAAGTTATTTCTCACTACATGATGGTAAAAGGATCATTGGAGTGACCAGATATGACAGAACACAAAGTGTGCTCTATGCAGACGACCTTTTATTTTATATATCAAATCCTGTAGAATCTTTATCGATATTATAGAAATATTAGTTATTTTGAAAAAAAATATCAGGCTATGAATTGATGATGTTCAAAGAGTTCTGTTTTCTCCATTAATAGTTTGGTTACTATAGTATTCCCTTTTTAATCTGAAGGTCCAGATAGACTTCATCAGTTTCCTGTATTTTTTTTTTCAAATAATTCCTATTTTCTAATTCTATATTCAAAGAACTGATTTTCTCTTTTTTATGGAACAGATCTATTCTAAAGATGACAAAACTTTACTGGAGGAAGCCCCAATAAGCAGAGGTTCTGGGTCTGCCCAGTTTCATTTACGGGTCAGTAAACATTAGCAGATTTAATATATTGCATTTCTAGTTTGGGGGAAAAGTCTGTGCCCAATTTGGGCTAATGTGGAATTTAACAGCAACCCAGCAATTTCCCCAAACTAATACAGAATTCCAACAATGGCCTGGTTGTCTTTAAACACATTTTACTTCAAGGTACATTAACGTCTTTCACAAATATTCCCAAAACCTTTTTTTTTTAGATTCCTACAGATCCAAAGTTTTTGCCATTAAAGACATTTCCATTTCCCCACTTAACGATTTATAATATACATTATGATTCTGGTAATCAATCAACCTTCATAGGACAAAACTACATTCGTCATGGGAGCAGGATGAAGTCCTGGCTACTCTTCATTAACTAATCTATAGTTCTTACTTATGTATAAGACAGAGTAATACACCACATACACGACTCAAATGAAAGCTATGTGTGTAATGACACAAATGTGTGTGTGTGTCCATCTTATATGTGATCTGTTTAATGTGTGAGTGAGTGGTGTCGAATGAGGTTAGGTAGTATTTATATGTATATATACATATATGTATGTATATATATATATATATAGATATGTGTGTATACATATATACATATATACAGCATATAAATACATATGTATTATACATGTTTAAGTATTTTAAGGTTATACATGAGCTTAAAATAATAAACATATATACACATACACAAACTGTACATACATAAAAAATACATCTAAAAAAGTTGAGCAAGAGAGTCGAAGCGAAGAGAAAAACAATCTATAATTACTTCTACTTGAATTGTTGTTTTTATTATTCTTTTATTACGATACGAAAAAGTCAAATTTCTGGTGTGTTTACAACAATAAAGCTGATTCAGAAATTCTGATTAGGAATAATATAAAGTCTTTTTTTATGTGTCAAAAACAACCTTAAAATACTTAGATTCTTCACATAAAATAATATCAAATCTCAAAGTTGTGAACATGTTTTTTTTTGTACTAACATTGAGGACAAAGAATTGTTAATGAAAACTAGAATCCATTCTCAGTCCTGAAAACATCCCGATAGGCCTGGTAGTAGGTCACGCATGCGCACCAAACGATCCAACATTCTAACAGAATTGTATACCTTAGAAGCGGAAGTAGGGATGGTGTTACTTCAAAATAAGACAACAAAAAAAAAACCTACTTTAAAAACTATGGCAGTTGGTTGTGCAGAACATCTAAATCACATTATATGTGGAGTTATAACGTCTATTTCACAGTTTTAGTAGCCTTAAAAGCAGACATAAAGGGCTAACATACAGAAAATTAACTTTTAACAGAGACATAAGGTTTTTGTTGTTCATTTTGTAAAGTGTAAATGTAACCTTCCAATCGTTATTTTTATTAATTAAGACGAAAAACATTTTCGTGAACAACCGTTACTATGAATATGTCCTCCTGGATGTGGTGCTTCCTTCACGAAAGCTAGCTTGACCCCGTCGTGTTTCTCCTAACGCCTCCCATCCAATATTTCTCTGAAGAAGAAGACTTCCGGTGGTGTGTCATGGCGGTGGCATGGTGAAGCCTAAACAGAAAAGGGAAAAATTACTCGCCCCCTTTTCGTCCTTTTTCCCCCACATACGACACGGGGACAGCTTTTTCATTCATAAATAAAAGCCCGTGAGGACCGGCCCCGTAGCTTTGGATCTATTTTAGCCGTTACCGGCCATGGCGGCTCACAAACCAGTGGAGTGGGTCCAGGCCGTGATTACTAGATTTGATGAGCAGGTAAGATGGTTTGTGATTCACTGGATGGGTGTAGCGAGCTTTAGGTAGACCCGAGGCCCCCTTTTTACTCCGGATCAAAGTCCCACTCACACACACACACCAGCCTCCATTAAAGAAACAGCTAATTTAAGGAGTGTTTATTCCTTTCTCCGGGATCGTTTTTGTCGTTTTTTCCGGATGAAATGTGAGCTGTGTTTCTTTTCCCAGCTGCAAAAACACTGATGATGAGTTCCTTTTCTTAGCTAGCAGCAACCTCGTCTCCACGATCAATTAGCAGATGCATCCCGGGGATTTGGCCCCAGTAAATTTGTTAAATAATGCACAATAAAGCAATGTATCCGGACACATTGCACGTTAAACGTCCGTGTGTCGTTTTTTTAAAGTGCCCTAGCTAAACGTTTTCTCTTGTGCCAGGCTAGGTGGCTAACGTTAGCAGGCCTATAGCTATCTAATGTAAACAAATAAGATGTGAGTGTTGCTAACACGCTGTGTTCATTGTGAGTGAATGAAACCACGAGTATTACAGGTGAGAGCTGCTTTCTAGTGTCTAAAACCACCGCTGTCAGGTATGGCAGCTGAGACTACCACAATAAAAGCTTTATTTTCTATAAGGAATCTAGTTACAGGTACACTTTACACGACCTATTATTTTATTTGCTTATATGTTGAAACTGTACACATGTACTAGCTCAGATATATCATCCATGTTTGTAAAAACTTGTTTAATTTATAGTAACCATAGAGATAGAACAGGAGTATTCCCATTGAAATGTATGTGTCAGAGTGGCGGCCATTTTTAAAAATGTGTATTGTTGCCATTGCGACCGTTGTAGCAGGCTAACCAGCTTACAACATGTCATTACGACTTATACCAGCAGTGGAGTAGTAACGTTAAGAAGTCAGAGTAAATAATTCAAATTCTAAATAAATTAATATACATATTGCCACGTTAAAAACGTAGAACATACATATTGCTATCGCCATTTGACAGCTTTTTGTTTGGCATATTTCTTGTAACCAGTGTAGCATTAAAGCATGGGTGGAGTCAGCTTGCTAGCTGGCTGACTAGCATACAGTTGGCGAGTTAGTTAGTGTGCTGATTCCACCAATGCTTTAATGCGACACTGGTTAAAAAAAAATAAGCCAAATAATGTGCTGGTGGTCAGCTCTGGGTCTAACGGTCCCTCCCGCTTAAAAAGATGAGCTAACTAGCTAGCTAGCCATCCGTCTCTGGATAACACTCTAATGGCCCTTCTAATGTGTGTTGTCATCATAGCAACTAACAACAATCTCCACTTTCTACTCCTATTCTGTTTCTATTCTCGTAACTAGGAATGCTAGTTTATATATATTTTTCTTACTGACGCTAACCGAACATTAACGTTGGTAAAAAAAAAAATGCTACAACTCCTGAACACCCAAGGTTGGCTAACCTTTGAGGTGGACTTGCTGTTCTCAATTTCAGATTTTTTATATTTTCTTGAACTGGTTAGTTAACACTTGAACGGTTAATTATTAACATCCATATTTGTAACATTAAACTCACAGCCTTAAACTGAAGAGCTGCTGTAATGGTCACGCTATATTTAATAAGTACAAATGGTAGATAAACATAATCTTTAACTCAGAAGAGTAACGCAGACGGTCTGTCTGCGTTACCAGAAGTCTTTGTTGTTTGAAGGTGTGTGTGTGTGTGTGTGTGTGTGTGTGTGTGTGTGTGTGTGTGTG